TAAGAAAATTTTTTTTTGCTATAGGGTATGTGTGCTCACTGGCAAAACAGAGAGAGAGGAAGAGCGATATCACCCCCAGGGGCAATCCCTTCTACCCCATTGTCTTCTCAGGATTTTGGGCACACACACACACACACATGCCCGGTGTGAGTTTCCAGCTGCCGGGTCCGGGACTAGAACCAGGGTCAGCCATGTGGGAGTCCAGCGACGTAACCATTATGCCATCTGCTGGTCCCCATCATTGATCTATTCATATTCAGTGACTTTTCCTCCAGCCCACCTTAGCTTATCCCCATTGGTATCAGCTTGGCCTTTGGAATCGTGATTTCAAACAAGTTAGTCTGACGCGATGCCTGTCCTCCGCGCTCACTGCCTCCAGTATGGGAAGACAGCCCCTCAAGCTTGCTGAGGCTCCCTCTCACCAGCTGTTGCCACATTCTGTGATCGGCCTGGATGGTCGCTCCTCTGCCCCTTTGCCTCACCTGGGAGCATGTCTGCCCGAGCGAGGCTGGCCATCCCCTCACCCAGGCCATCCCCTCACCCAGGCCTGACTGTATGTGAGGACGTCACAGCTCCAGACGGGCTAAGTCTGTTTTACATTCACGGCTGACAAGTGGCACCTTTGTGGCTCAGCTCCCTGTCGCTCTCCTGCACTGTCAGCGGAGCCCACCTGAGGTTTCCCTGGGGAAGGACAGAAAGGACGCTGTCCAGGTCAGTCCCTGCAGTTCCCACCTCCGGCTCGTGCTCGCAGCTGCAGCTCCGAGCTGTCCTCCCCACAGGGCAGAGCACCACTCCTGCTGCCGAGCCGGCCCTCGGCCCTCTCCCTGCTCGCCGCCTTCGAGCCACACCTCTGCTGTTGCGGGGTCCCCCTTTCTGGTGAGTCATTCTCATCAGCAGGCAGGCAGCGCGGGGTCCCCCCCGCCCCCCCGCCATGGCGCCTTCCCAGCTGCCCTCTCTCACCGCGTAATAGACTGGCCAGCTGAACCCCGCCTCGCCTTCTGGCCTCATCCTTCCTCACCCACGCAGTGCAGTTCCTGAGACCTTGGCCCCACTAAAACAGTCCCAGGCCGCCACATCCAGGGGCACGTCTCTGTCCTCGCCTCTTGCCCATTGACATGACCCGCTGGCCACTCTTGGAAATTCTTTTGGCTTCCAACCCTTGACACTTAGTCTCCGTCTCCTCTCTGTCTCCACAAGTCCAGAGTCTCTGGGCTTCAGTGCAGGACCCATTCCCGGCCCACATCTGTACATGCCTAGTGGCCTCCGCTCCACACTCCTTCCCGCACCGTGGCCTGCCGGTGCCTGACTCGGCAGAGCTCAGCAGACAGGGAGGGGGAGGTGACGAACACCCATGGCCACATGTAGCCCTTGGTTCAGAGCCGATCTCTTATAAAGTATTTGTGGACGGAGTGGACATTATCATTCTTACCTGCCAGTGAGGACATGGAGGCTCAGAGGGATTCGGTGACCCATGATCACAGCTAAGCGGCCCCACTGGGATTCAAACCAAAGCCTCAACACCCCTTCCTTCTCTGGTGTATTTTTCCCTAACCCCTAGAATTCGCCTTCCTTCACCCACTTCTCAAGCCACAGGGCGAGCATGGATGCACGGGGGATGCCTGCTGTTTTCCTCCCCAGTCCTTTCCTGGCGTGGACCCTGTGGGCTTCCACTCCCAGCCATGTCGCCTGTACCTACCGGCCTTCCGACACAGACAGGCGCCATGATGGCTGTGAAGTCTGCGTTGCTGTAGCTGTGAGTAAATTTTGTCCCACCTAAGCCGCTTCTAAGTGTAATGGAATCACCGCACGCTCTTTTAGCGTAGAAGCTGTCCTTCCTTCCACAGCAGGTGGCTGAATCACTCTTGGTTGACTTGGAATGAAATGTTTGTTTTTCAGAAGTTGAACTCTAGCAAGATAACCCGACTGAGGATTTGGGAGCGTGACATTTCAACTATTAGATTCAGACCAGGGGCACTGACAAATCTGCACTTGCTTTGGGGAGGGCTAGTGTCACCCCATCTTTCTGTGCTGGTCAGGCTGGTGGCCTCAGCGCTCTTGGCAGGGCAGGGGGCTGCTCTGACCCCACCAGGCTGACTGTGAGTGCCTGGGCATGCCGGGAGCTCCTGTGCAAAGACATCTCATCCAGGCCAGCAGATGGCATAGCAGTCTCACCACTAGACTCCCCCATGGCTGAGACAGTTTGCATCCCGGGCCCGGTGACTTGAAACTCATGCTGTGCACATGCGCGTGTGTGCCCAAGGTCCTAGAACGGAGAAGGGATTGTGGTGTGGCCCTGGCCCTGGGGTGACTTCTCACTTTCCCTCTCACTGTCCTTATCTCTCTCTCCCTGCACTGTGTGCACACACCCTAAGGCAAAAACTAAACAAAAGGCCTGAGGGACTGGGCTGAGCGGTTGGAGGGGCCTCCCAGGGAGGGCAGTGGTGGGTGAGTAGAGCCCACAGCCATCCCTCTCTCCAGAGCTCTAATGGCAGCAGGGGCTGCTGGCCACCCTGCCTTGCCCCGCACCCACCCTGGCTCCTCTCAGAGTGGCTGATAATGGTGAGCTGGCCAGGACCCTGCGCCCGGGCCATGCCCCCCTCGCTCTAATGGTGATGTCCAGAGGTGACCTGGGCCTCTGGGCACTGGGATCAGTGACGAGTGGGAATGAGGCTGGTGCCCTTTTCTTTTTTCTTTTTATCTTTTTTTAATTTTTTTTTTTGAGAGGTTTTTGCTACAGGGCGTGTGCGCTCGCCAGACAGAGAGAGACAGAGAGACAGAAAGCGAGAAGTCACCCCCCAGGGGGGCTGGCCACGCTGCAATCCTTTCTCCTCCATTCTCCTCTTGGGATCTTGGGCATGCACACACACACGTGCCCGGCGTGAGTTTTAAGCCACTGGATCCGGGACTCGAACCGTGGTCGTCTACGGTGGGAGTCCAGCGACATAGCCATTATGCTAACTGCTGGTCCCTGGTGTCCTTTTCTTGACGACCCCTGCCCCGCGCTATGTTCTGCCCAGGACAAGCCCGAGCTTCCAGAAGGCTGCCCATTCCGCAGTCTTGAACCTGGGCTGCAGAGTGAGGGCGGAGGCGGGGCCGGCAGCCAGGAGCCTGTCCTTCCCTGCAGGTGCAGGTGCCCAACAGTGACGCCCCGCTGGACACAGTGGGGGGGTTCTGAGCGGGAGGGGGACGAGCGGGGACCCCCTGAACGGGAGGGGACCCCGGGAGTGCAAGGGAGACTGGGGGTGCCCAGAGTGGGAGTGGGAGGGGCGGGCGCAGAACCCTGAATGCGCGTAGACCCTGGGAGTTGAAGGGAGATTGGGGGGGACCTCGAGAGGGGTAGCGAGGGGGCGGGGTGGGA